CTTCCTTCCTTCCTTCCTTCCTTCCTTCCTTCCTTCCTTCCTTCCTTTCTTCCCTTCCTTTCCTTTCCTTTCCCTCTCCTTTCTTCTTCCCTTCCTTTCCTCTTTTTTCCTCCTCTTCCTCCTTCCCTTTCCCTCCCTCCCTCCCCTCCACCTCCCCCCCCAAACCTTGGCAGCCCCTGCCCCAAAATGTACAACCCAGGGGCTGCTTTGCATCCTTTGCGGCCCAATCAAGGCCGGTGAGGAGAATTGGGTTGGGGCTGCTCTCACCGCCGCAGACCCCTCCTCACGAAGGGGAGGAAAGGAATCCAGCAAGATTTATGGGAACAAGCCCCCCCCCACCTTCCTCTCCCCTCCCTGGGGGCCATCGCTCTGGGATTGATGAAGTGCTGAGACCTTGTTCCAGGTCTGCCCCGTGTATTATTCCTGAGGCCGCCAGAGGCCCCGGTTTGTTATTCCAGATCTCAGTCAGCCCTCCAGGTTCAAGTCCCGTCTCTCCACCCACCCCCAGGCCCGTCCCCTCCCTCTCTTAACCCCCCCTCCATTTTGTTTCTCAGAGCAGGCCTGGGAAGAGGGGTAATTATTTAGAAGTCCTTGGAAAGCGCCTGGAGGCCTTTGTGGTGTTGGAGACAAGAATTTGGTCCTCAACACCAATAAGGCCAAGGAGCTGATCGTGGACTATGGAGAAGGAAGAGATCAGAAATCCAGCCCTTGCTTATCAAGGGAGACCGAGGGGAGCAAGTGGCCAGTTTTAAGTTTCTGGGTGTTACCCTAAAAGAGGACCTGGCCTGGGGTGGGGGCTCACATTGCAGCCCTGGTCAAATGGGCCCCAGCGGAGATTATACTACCTGAGGCTTCTCAGGAAACAACAACTGAATGAAAAACCGCTGGTGACCTTCTACCGCTGCACCACGGAGAGTATTTTTTAAAATTACTGCACACCTGTGTCTGCTTTGCCAGTTGCACAGGGGCAGATAGGAAAGCACTTCAGAGGGTTAACCTCGTTGCCCAGAGGATCATGGGTTGCCTTCTCCCGTTTTTGGAAGAGCTTTAGAGCTCCCGCTGCCTTAAGAAAGTTCAAAATATTCTCAAAGATCCACCTCATCCTGGGAATCCCTTTTTGTTTGAACTATTACCATCTGGAAGATGGTACAAGATAATAATAAAAACAAGGACAAATAAGCTGAAAAGCAGCTTCTATCCCAGGGCAGTAGCTCTTTTGCATTCTACTGTATAATGCAATATTAACGCAATATTAACTCAATATTAAGGCAATATTTATTATATAGAATGCAATTGCCCTCTCCCCTCTTTGGAAGAGCTTTAAGAAAGTTCAAAACATTCTCAAAATCCAACTCAGCCTGGGCAGCCCCCCCCCTTTTTTAACTATTACCATCTGGCAGACGGTACAGGATAATAATAAAAACAAGGACAAATAGGCTGAAAAACAGCCTCTATCCCAGGACAGCAGCTCTGTTGACTTCTACTGTATAGTGCAGTGTTGGTGGGGTGTTCGGGGTTTTCCATTCAAGGTGTGGAGTGTGAAGGATGTGCGTTTGTGTTTATTTTCAAGGTCATGATGTGCACTGAAGGTGGTGTTGGATTTCATTGTACGAGGTACAAGGACAATAAACTGAACTAAACTTCTTTAGAAATTCTGCTCCATCCTGAGGCTGCATGCTGTGTGTTTGTCCAGCGAAGGGAGTTGTCTGCACGTTGTGAGTTTCAGAATGCCCCCTCCCCCCCTGC